TTTAACTTTTACTAACAAGCAGAAGTTCTTAAGTGTACTGGAGTTTTAAACAGACTGAAGCCTAGTAAACTGTTGGTTTAATAATCTTGAACTGAAAATTCTTTCAATTAATCATCGGTATTACATCTTATACCAGAACTATAAAATTTAGCCTTATAAGCGTCAGTTTCTACAAAAATAATCGCATTTTTGTAGAAAATATCAACATTTACAGAAACAAGGAAACAAAATAGCCAATGATTTATCCATCTCAAGTCGCTTTGAGTGTAAAAACAACATTTTTTAAACATTTGAAGTCCATTGGTACAAATGTATTAATGTTGCAACGATCCGATTCGATATCGGCCAAAGTTAATCATAAAACCGATTAATAGGATTTTACCGAAAATGAAAGATCCGACACTATTATGAACAAACAAGTACGTAGCTACGACGTCGTTACACCCGCTACGCCGTAGCGGAGCACGATCGCAGAGTAGCGACTTATTGCAATTTCTTGTCTGAACCGTGTACTATACAAAGGTTGTTTCCTGTGTTTTAAAAGAAGCTATGTCATACCAAAATAACGTAATTACAAGAAAACGTGATGGGATTTATATGGGTCAAATATTCAAAGATACTCATATCAATTAAAATTACACTTAACATGTTAAATATTTTTTTTAAATTTAGTCTGTTTCCTTAATCTAATATTATAAAGCGATATAAACTAAATTTTTTTTAGTTTGATTTTGAGCTAAATTGTAGATTTTTAGTATTTACGGACTGCATTTCGAATATGAGATTACCCCAAACAAGATAGAAGGATTTACGCTCGCTGAAAATGTGTTCAGTGAGGAAATAAATAAATGAGTTAACGACGTGACAAATTAAACTGGCCAAGCGTGAATGCAACTATCGCCTCCCTTAACTAAAGCAAGTTAAAAGTTGTAAATTTTACAGAATCATTGGGCGCATGATTGCAGTGTATGGCCACGAACAAGGGTACTGGGTTCAATTACCAACGGTTCTAAAATAAATTTATGATTTTTATGAATTATATTAGACTTTTTCTGAAATATCAAATGGTAGTAAAATTACACCCTTAGTACGAATTGCTGTCAATAGACGAAAAGGCCGACACGTTTTATCACGTTTAATTCTTAAATAGTCGATATTATTTAATGATATATGGTTGGTACCTTCCACTTAGTAAGTCTGTTTTATTTCCTCCTCTGCTACATAAGGAGAAACTGATGTTATTTATAATATTTTAAAATATCTACGAGTAGTAGTTCTGTACTTAAGTGTGTGTTATTTAAATTTAAGGAATTTGTCCATTAAACTTGGTTAAACGTCATCTGTCATCAATTGTGCATTGTGGCGAAACTATAAACCCAAAAAAATTATAAAATAAAAGTAATATGAGAGCTTCTTAAACGATGATTGATATCAGTTATCACCTATTTTTTTTTTGTCCCGGCCCACCTGACTACTTGGCGATAAATACTGTCTGTAGTTTAAGCGAGTACACATTTCAATAAAACACTCACACAACACACACAATCTCCACCCGACCTCGTCTCTTTAAATAATTGCCTGTAAATAAAATCGATCAGGGAAAGTTCGCCTGTATTGTACAGAAACTAAAATTTCACACTACTGTACTACTAATAGTGTACTACTACAGTTACATAGTACTGAGCTATAACTGTGCCTACGGAAACGAATCGATGAAGTTTTGCGTCCGTATAAATCCCGTATAGTACCCGCATGGAACGTCCGAAGCCGATTTACATTGAAAAGTTTGGGCTGAGATACTTTTAGTAGAGAACAGAAATAAGTTTACACACAAGGGTTACATGTAATATTTTAAAGACTGTATTGTGTTGTTACGAGTATTCTCTTGGTCTAATTGTTAGTATACTCGATTGTAGATCATAAGTTCGATTCCAAGATAGTGAGAAATTTATCTCAGTATTTGGTTGTTTTCTATTAAAACTCCCAGTCACGGAGTTTCGAAGTAGGAGATATATATCGCGTTTTAAACAGTTGAAGTATTTTATTGAAGGTGTACTACTCGCGTAAACTACAGAAAGTATAATACTACTAACGGTTTAAAATGCGAAATATATTAGTTAATTTATTTTAACTCTGGCCCATGGACATGCCAACGATGCTATAGACTATAATAAATTTTTATTACGTTACGGCGAAACACGTCGCATGTGAATATCTACTATATTCTTTTAGCCTATATCTGTCTCGTAATAGTTGCGCTATATGGCCCAGTGGCTGGCCAACAAAAAGCGTATTATATGTATGTAGATGAAGATTTGTGCGAATTTTATTTAATTAAAATTTCTCTTTGATATGGCAACACTGTTTGCGCTTGTCACTTGAATTTTGAATATCGAATCGTGGGCGCCGACATCAAAGGCAGCACGCGTTTGATCTTGTGATGTTGCAACAGTTTTTGTAATTTTAAGTACACTTGACTGGTAAACGTATCGCTGTCCGTGACCCGTTAAACGTAATTTCAGCAACTCCTTGTTCATTTTGTCAGGAATATCAAAACTGCGCGTGACGACGAATGGCGTTTTGGTTTTAGTCTGTGGATTTCTAGATGTAGCAAGCCATACTAGGTTGACAGGTATTAGATATTATATAGCTGACGTAATTTTTTATGATAGAGGAGGACAGAAAATAAAATATGCTTCATTCTCTTTAAAATTTTAAAAATTATATAGATTCGTCAAAAGTTTTTTATTTCTCAGTCTATTCGTCGTGATTCTACAGAGTGTTCAAAAAAGTAACATAACACCCAAGAAGAAGAAAAGAAGAACACCCAAGAAACACAATCCCGCTTTTTTTAACATGTCTTATAAACTAATACATTGTTGTGATTTTTTTTACCTAAGGAGCAATTCATATTACTGCCAGGCGGTCTTGTCATTAAAGAAGTCGTTCAGACAATAAGACACCTTTTGAGACAATCTAAGTTTTATAACATTCTTAAAATTATTTATCGATAAATTTGAAATCTCGACTGGCAATGTATTATGCATACGAATACGATTCCCCGCAAATGAATTAGTTATTTTATGAAGCCTATATTTGGAAATAGCTTATCCTTATTTTTTAAGTTCAAATTATGTCTATCACTATTCTTCCTGTACTTGCCTTTGTTCTTATGGGCATACAGTAAGTATGCCGATAATTTTAAAGATATCTCTTAATGACTCCAAAGATCCCATACCCAAGGAACATAAGCGTGAGGTTCCGTGGTGGAATACCCCAGCCATATAGCGTCAAATCAAGATGTACTGTTGACCTATTTTGGCTTTAGATATTCGGAAAATCACATACTGAAACCGACACCTGATTAAACTTGGCGGCTTTTTCATTCGTGAATGGTGGTTCGTGACCCGAACGGAACTTCTATATTCCTACCACCAATTTAATATCCAGATTTCCACTAATGAGTTCGTCAAATCATCTTTTGATAATTCGTTATCTTCTATAGCATTTTCTTATAGAAGACAAACGCAGTAATTATTATTAGTGGTCTATTCGTGCACTCTGCCGAATCATTTATTCTCACTAAGCTCTGTATAAACACGATTTGAAATGAAAAGCGGATTTATCCTAAAGCAAGCGCGGACTTGTTCAGACAATATCACTATTATTAACTTTTCAACGAGTCTCATATACACTAGACAATAAAACGTTTTCAACCTCGCAAAATCCTTTCACATGTTTTAATAAGTTTGAGAGACTTCGTGAGGCCAAGGATTCGATCCCGGTTTATAATAACTCTAGCGTGTGATATATTATGAAAGACTAGCTGCGCTTCCGACGTCGTCGGCGTGCAATACTTATTTGAGCATCATCAAATTTTGTATTTTTGCTTACAATCTCCTTAGCTTTTTGAATTATAGCTGTTATACACTAAGCCTGCGACCCTTCGCGAGTTAATCTTAAAAGATAGATATATAATGTCACAGACATATTTTTACATCACTTAAAAAAGAATTCAAGTTAACATATCGTTTTAAACCGTTAAAGTGTTTTATTTAAATTCTCGCATAAACTACAGGCAGTATTTATTTTACAAAAATATTGTTCAATCCGAACCAGTAGTTCCTAAGACTTGCGCGTTTACAAACTCTTTAGTTTTTTAATATTATTATAGATTGCATATTTATTCACATTGCATTCCACATTTGAAAATGCTTTCTAACATTTCTTATATATCAATTTCTATGTATTAATACAGATGCTCTTAAATTATAAACTACGTGTCTATAAAAAAAGCAATATAAATTTATTTAAATTCCGTCCGATGAAAAAGCCGTGAAGTTTAATCGGGTTTCGGTTTCAATCTGTGGACTTCGACCAAATATCCAAAGACAAAATAGGTCGACCGCGCATCTTGTTTAGATCTTTCGTGGCTGATGTATTTCACCGCCCACCAAGTGAACATTATGCTTGTCTTCACGTATATTAAAAAAAATATACACCAACTATAAACGTGCTTAGAAAAAACATTCTGTACATTCGTTTATACACGATAAAGTCGGGCAAGTTCAATGACTTCTTCCGTTGTTATTCTACGACCTCAGACCTTGGCTTAGTCTTGAAAGGATTACATCAATCGCTTACCCGTTGTATTTAACCCAGATTGAAGATAACGTACGTCGTACTTAAAGTTATGCTGCAACTTTTCGTAAAGAAACTTCCCATTTGAACTTGAAATCGATCGTAAAGTACATTCTTATTATATCGTTTTATCGAATTAGTTGACAGAAAATGTAGTTGAATTAAAATATATAAAGATTTATATTCTTAATGCGGAGTAATTCAGTGTCTGAAATCTATTATTAAGGGTACTTTATTTTTTGAATCTATATATATGTTATCTATAATACGAGTATACATATTGATGATATATTAAAAAATAACGAGTGTTTAATATCCTGATATTAAAGTGTATTCACTATAACGTTTTTTTTTTGCAGCTAAGAAAAAATCAACGGAAAGGCATTCAACGAAGTATCGTGGCATTCAAGAAGGTACCGAGAACTTAGCCTCCGAGGAAGAACCAGTGAAACCCCCTAGCTTAGTAAAATCCCAAAAAACTCATACACTGTTACAGCAACCGCGTGAACCAAAACCACCCCACGCAGAAGCTCAACAACATTCGCAAGAGGTACAAGATAAGAAGCAAAATCAGCGATCTCTAGACCGAGGCACTTTACAACGACACAAACAACAAGAACAACGCGTACAAACGCAACAAGAGCAAAAAGGACAACGACAGGTAACACCGAAGCAACAACAGGCACAGGAACCCTTTACTAGGACTTCCGACTGGGACGAAATAAGAACGCCAGAAGGACGGATCATTCCCACATTTCAGGGCGAGCCGAGACCACCACAGCCCAAGAATAAGGAACCACGACTTCTTCCAAGGCCTGATTTTTACATCTCAAGACACAGGGAATTGCATAAGGAAAGTACTGGTAGCCAAAATTTGGACCGAGTGCCAAAAAAGCAACCTACAGCACCTCAATTAGATCAAAAGACACCACAAAAACAACTCATTGAGGCCCCTAGGGGCTCACAAAGAGCTCAGCAAGTACATAAAGAAACTATCAGGCGGACAATGTCTCAAAACCCGCAAAAATATCCAATACGAGATCACCAAGTCTCTCTTCCGAATACACCTCAGAGAGGGGGCATGCCGTTACGAGAAATAAAAAGCACGCAAAACACTCCACTAAAAGTTCCTCAAAGCGAATCTCGTAGACCTTCCCAAGAATATCAACGCATACATCAAGGTCAAGCTCTTGAAGTGCCACAGAGCTGGCTTTTAATTGGCTCATCACAAGCCGTTTCGGGATCTGCACCGGGCCCATCACGAAATTATGCACAGCATTATTCTGGTTCGACGCAATATGTCGCCGGCCCATCTCAAGCTTCCTACCATAATTATTCTGGTTCTTCGCAAAGTATTTCTGGAACCTCCCAACCTTCATCACAATACTATACTGCTACGCAACGAGGCGTTGCATCTAATTCGTATAACGCTCAAGCACACTCACAAAACTCTATGTATAATATGCAAAGTCAACGAAACCCTTCACAGAGTTTTATCGGCTCTGACGTCGGTTATTCCCAGGCTTCTTGTCAAATTTATGACCAACGATCTATACAAGACCTGTCGGGTGTGTCACAACCAGGTCTTTCTCAAGCAGTATCGCATAACTTTGCGTCTACTACGCAAATTCAACGCAACTTAGGTCCTAGTCAAGGCCCGTCGCAAAATTTTAGGGGCTCCTCACATTCAGATGCGGGTCCTTCACAAGGATCCTTTCCCAGTTATGAACAGAGATCTGCGCAAGATTTATCCACTACATCACATAGACTTTCCACTCAAGCTCAGACACAAAACTTTGTGCCTACGGCTCAAAGTCAACGAAGCTTGGGTCCCAGCCAAGGCCCTTCTCAGAATTTTAAAGGTTCATCGCAGTCAGATGCAGGTGCTACCTCTTTTCAAAATTATGATCAAAGATCTATACAAGACATTTCTGCTACATCACAGCGGGTTACTTCTCAGGTATCAGCTCAACACCTTACGTCTGTTGCCCAAAATCAACGGCCATCGCAGAGTTTTATGGACGCGTCACAGCCTGATGGAGGCTCTAGTCAAACAACAGCGCAGTCTGCAACCTACTCACAGACTGCACCGTATACTTTTCAACCACGACGCTCTTCGGGATCTAACAGCCAAGGCACTACGTACAAGGTTCAAGGCCAAGCCGAGATTAGCCCATCGCAGAGCTCAAACCAAAACTATGAATCCGAAGCTAATCAAGATTATTCCTACACTACTCAACGAAATACGGCTTCTTCTCAAGAGCAATTGAAAGGCACAGAAGTTACTACAAAAACCCCTCCTGGGAAAGCGACGGGCGGCGTCCAAGGACAATCTCAGAAATCTGTCTTAACTCCTCAAACTTCTACTGAAACTTTAAAGAGTGTCTCAAGTACTTCCCAAATACAAACGGAATCTAAAGCTAAGACTGGCTCTATAGCAACCACTTCTGCTGCAATTCAGGATATCAACAATGTACCAGCATTTACAGCACCTACCGTATTTACTTCGCAGAGCCATCCATCCACATCAAATTCTGTGCCTACTTCTCAAAGCACTGCCGGACTTGCCCAGATAGGGGGGCCTTCACATTGTAAAGAAGGTCTCACAGCATCTCAAAGTATTGCTGGACCATCGAAAGCTGAAGCGGGAATCTCGCAAACCACGCCTAGTACTCCAAAAGCGGGACCGTCACGGGTTTTCTCTTCCTTTAAGGGGAAAGCCACAAAAACACCACCGAAGAACGTCCCCTTAAGAGAGCCACAGCAATTAATGTCGTCGTATTCTCAACTTGTATCGACCCTGCAGAATTCTAATCAAATGCCGGGTATGGTAACATTACCACAAATGGAGCCCAAGAAAGAAGTTCCAACCGAAGCTAAAGAGCCATCCGGTGCACTTGCCGTACTTGCGAGCAGTATTCCTAACGCTGCAGCTATGTTTACAAAGATGAAGAACACGGCCTTGCGACTTACACTCGGCTCAAACAATGAAAAATTAACCACTCAACCGTTAGAGTATAACCCTATAATGCAGTTTTTCGAAGTTCAAGAAGAAGTTTGTAACGCTGGCCCAGGTCTCGTCTGGCGAGTACACGATGCCCTGCGCAAAGCTGACGCCAGGGTAAGTAATTCAATGCTTTAAGTGCTTGAAACTTTATTATTTTCAGATGTTTTGCGTGATCCAACAAGAATTACTAGAACCGACATAATATGCAACGTTTAATGCAGATCGCCTTACAAGTTGACTCCCTTTCAGTAAATTAATTAATAAATATAATAAATGTAATTTTGAAAACATTATTCAGAGAAGCTTTTAATTTTATGAGCTTCTAATTCTGCATACACTAACAATACGGAAAGAAAATACATTAAAGTTTATAGAATATAGTAGAATATAATATGAAAATATGATCAGATGTTAAAACTTAAATATTCGTAAGTTGAGCATTTTTGTTAAATGAAATGGTTAGAGAATTAATTAAAACTTATAGTAAATTGAAAAAAATAACGACTCGGGCAGGACTTGAGACGACTTCTCAGCGTTCCATGCTGTTGCTCGAACCAATTGAGCTACTGTGCCCTACACGTCGTCGTCGTGGTTCGAGAGGAATATAATTACATTATTTAAAATAAAATTTTAAAGCCTGACTTTTATTATCAGCAATACCTTATGCATATTACGATAATATGCATAAAAAATGTTACACGTTGTCATAATGCAGTTAAGCATCCATTAGTTGCGCAAGCTTACGTCTTTACGAACACACTTAGTTACTATAATGATTATTAAAGTTGGTGTTTTATTCTTCGTCGTTTTTGCTTTTAGCTCGGTGTTTAATTAATCGGATTAAATCTCGTTTGTTCGAAATAGACTTGGCTTAATTCACACACCGTATAAAATTAGGTTTTATAAGAAGACTTATTTCAAATTTCAATTAGAAAAATCTTTAAGCGCGAAATATTTCAAAAACGTGTAAACATCATTAGAAAATCTTTATACACGAAATGTCTCAAAAACACAGAACTGTGTATCACTTAGTAACGGTTGTCACGTGATTGAGATCTCGTAAAAAAATATCGTGACTGAAGCAAAACGAAACACGAAACGGAAGATAAAAAATATAAAGAATAATTAGATGAACAAGATTAGATTAAAAAGATTGTTAACTAAAATATTCCACGTTCTAAATTGTTGTCTTTTATTTTATAGTGTCAAAGGTATAAATATGTACCTACCTTTTCCTTCCGTAGTACCATAGCATAGTAACACAGTCACTATTACTAGAAAGTTAGAATTAAATAAATTCTTCTGGAATCCCAAAACTTAATGCAAATATAACAAACTAAAAAACCTACGGTGTTTATCATTAAAAAAATATTTTTGTTTATTAGTTTCGAAGGTTCAGTCACGATAAAGTTTTTTTACAGAAATGCATAATATTATTTCTTCTAACACCCTTTAAACAACCTAAGAGCTACCAGCTGTTTTATTTGTTTGATACTGGCCGTCAAAAGCGAGCATGAATAAATGACTTTCTATTTCTAACTTTAAATGCACTACCTGTGAACGACTTGTAATATATGCCATGAAATGGACATAAAGGAAAAATATATTGCAAGATAAGTTCAGATAAACACAAAGACTCTATTATACCTCAAATGAAGTTTCTAGGTAATAGATATCTTGTCTAGTCTTCTAGGTATTGCTTACAGTGACTTTCAATATCCGTTGATAATGAACTTGACTTTGACATTAGCCTGATCTTGTAAGTAAACGATAAACAAGATAAAACATTATTAAAGAATGCTATTTAAGTTTCTCTTTAGATAAAGGGTTGAATATTTTTCATAGACATTACCAGCCTAATTAACTTAACAGATAGTAATACTGGAAGAAGATATTTTCTTACACAGGACAGACAAAATTGGAGTTCACTTGATTGAAGGTGAATTACCCAAGCTCTTTAACATCTTATTTTGGTTTTATACTTTTGGAAATTCGCAGACTGATACCGAAGCGCGGTTTTACACTTCACGTTTGTATCACCTAAGACGGTAGTTCGTAACCTAGACCAAATTTTGATATTACCACCATGCATTTTACTATTACTAATTAACGGGTTTGAGTCACATTGTTTTTTTATAAAAAGCATGGAATAAAATTCCATACTTCTTGAATGAGTTTGTAAATATATAAGCACATAAAAATAATATATATTAAAAAAATGTAGTTGGATATTACGAGTGATTCCTGCAGAATTAATTGCTCCAATGCATTTCATCGTAATTACTGGTGCACAGCTTGTTAGCTGTTAGCAGAACTGTCTTATTAATAAGTCTATAGTTATCAATTCCAATTCTAAATATAATACAAATACTTCCATATCAACAAAGACATATAACTACATATATAATATACTTTCGACCATGAATAAAAATATTCAAAAGTTCGGTTTCTATAGACCGCGACAGAGCAATCGTACACTCAGCTGTTTGATCAAATCTTCTTCTTAAATACTGTCCATAGTTTACGCGAGTAGTACACATTTAAATAAAACACTTTAACGGTTTAAAACGCGATATATTAGTTAAACTTATTTGAAAATGATTTTTAACTTCGGCCCGACGTTTCGGATGCTTTGCAGCAGCCGTGGTCACGGGGAGACTAAAGATGGAGGACGTCTCTGACGTCAAAGTATCCATCTGTTCCGTCGAAGTTGGTGTTTGGCGAAACTGGCCGGGTCCTTGCAGAATTGACTAAATCATTTTCAAATAAATTTAACTAACATATCGCGTTTTAAACCGTTAAAGTGATTTATTTAAAAATCTTCTTCTTATCTTTTGATTAACATAAGCTCTTAGTCTCTAACGTGTCTTATTTTTTTGGGTTTGTGTTAAAAAAAAGCTTTTTCTCTGTCGTTTACGCGACTAGTTAAAATAAAACACTTATTAAACAGTATTATGTAATTAAAAATATATTTAGATCGAAAAAATATATACGGTAGCTCAATTGGTGAGGTTCGGAACTGTCCCGTTTCTTGTCCCGCCCTTGCATTGCATTTATGTATGCAATGTAAAAAATAATAATATTTTCAAACTTTGAATGGTTTAGAAAATGCTTATCTACATGGATAAATTATCGCTATCGACTTTATTTTAATTCAATAATAATAGAATTGAGCACCGGAATCGCGCATCGGAGCATCGCGCGTTATGAGCGCCAGTTCCTGTAATGATTAATTGGATTGCACGCTGGATGCCTCAACTTGTCGCTAATTATTATAACAAGAAATGCACGCCCACTTCGACTTCCCACCAGCTAATTATCTCATCCTTCTAATATTCATACTTCAATTCCTTACCGTTAGTGAAGGTATGAGTTTGAATCAGGGAATATTATTTACTAGCTGTGTCAGCTTCGTCCGCGCAGAATAGTTATTTAAGGCATCAAAATTTGTTTCTTAAAAACTCCGTTTCATTTTTATAGAGTCGGTCGCGTCCTGTCTTTCTTGCAAGTTAATCTTAGAGACATATAGTGTCGGGAACATTTTTTAGATTAGTTAAATGGAGAGCATTTTTTCATACATATTTTTTGGGAATATTGAACCGCTTTCGCAGCGTACGCAAAGGTAACCCACAAAGATGAGTTTTTTTTTGGAAACCCACGAATATACATTTTGTTTCCTCCACATTCCCGCTGTTTCTTCGCTTCCTATTGGTCGCATCGATGTTTTAACGCCTTGGTTCTTCCCCGATATATGATATAACCGACAAAAAGAATTTTCAATAGGACAAAACAAACAAACTCTTCAGTTTTATATTTTAGTATAGATGTAATAAACAATTACTACTATAAAGCAAGAAATACAAAAATCAATATTATTTTAAGGATACAAAACAACCAAATAACGATATCAATAAATTGTACCTTAACTAAAAACTTTTGTCTACCTCGTAGTGCCACGGTACTCTCGCACGCCAGCCCAACACGTTCTATATTTTTGTCAGTACAATGCGACATATTGTCTTATTCTCGCTGCACAATAGAGAGTCGAACCCCGAAATTGAAGGGTTAACGGTCGGCGTAATTACGACGCAAGCCGGGTTATGAAAACAACGGGATGTCTCTTCGTAACAGTGTTGTGTATTTATATAATCTCGTTCAAATATTAACTTTGGCTCAGTGGAAAACTGTTCGGGCCAGGTAGTATGACAGCTCGATTAATAGTACAAATTGTAGGGCTGTTTACACTAGCCGATTACGACTTGCGATACTCCTAAATACATTTTAAAACGACATTAAGTCTTACTTTGAAAACTAAAATTATTTTTCACACGTTATTGCACATGATGGCACTGTATAAATGACTCGGCAGCTCAATTGGTTAGAGCAACAGCACGGAAAGCTGTGGATGCCGGTTCGAGTCCTGCCCGAGTCGTAGATTTTTTCAATTTATAATCGATTTTTAAAGTCATACTTGCGAAAGTTTTTTATCAATCTATCGCACTGTATTTGTTCTATTCCTAAGTCAAAACTTATAATCTTTTGAGCTAGCTCAACTGCATAGAGCTGCAGCACGTTTCGCTGTGCAGTCTCGCGCGAGCCATCGATGGCTTTTCAATCTAAATATGAATTAGTTAGTCTTGACAAAGGGATCTATAATAATTATTTAAATAAAATACCCGTAGCCACGGCTGCTGCAAAGCATCCGAAACGTCGGGCCGAAGTTAAAGATCATTTTCAAATGAGTTTAACTAATATATCGCGTTTTAAACCGTTAAAGTGTTTATTTAAATGTGTAGTACCCGCGTAAACTATAGACAGTATATAGTAATTATATGAAATAAAATACTGTTACCTGAGGCATGGGATGTGTGTATCTTTGACCGTTTCACTGGCTAATTTTATTTACAGGCAGTCGATAAGACTTCTGAGTCTAACCGAAGCAATTAGTGTTTTTCCAGGATTCGAAACCAGGAGATCTCGAAATATTTCTCATGAAATCGTTCAATATATTTTCCGTTTAAAAACGTGCTTCTGAAATGTGCACTACTAGCGTAAGCTATAGACAAATCTCTAAGAGATATTTTATAACTAGCTGACCTGGAAAACGTGCTCTTGCCACTTGAAGTTTCTTAACG